TAAGTTATAAACTTTTACGAGAAGCTTAACAAAAAAAGATAAAAATTGTGAAACTATCTTCCTACTGTCAACTTCTATGCAACCTGTTTTCACAAATAAATAATTGTAATAGTCGGTATATTATAAGATTGGAAGCGCGGCAATGAATCAATGACACTGAAGACTGGGAGGGTAATCTTGTGTTACCAACCAAAGTATTTCGTGCATTATCAATTTTTGAACTATTTATTTCCATAACAATTGTTATTGTCGGAAGGGAAAATATTGTAACTAAATACAAATAATAAGGGACCGAACATAGTTAGTACAATATGTTACAATTTCATTAGTGAATTAGTGAAAACAAAAGTAATTATAATATTTCATTTTTAAACGACTTCAAAAAAGGAGGAGGTTCTCAATTCGACTGTAAGTGTTTTTTTTTGTATGTATGTTACGCGATAACTCCGGTATTTGTGAACCGATTTTCATGATTCTTTTTTTGTTGGAAAGGAGGTACTTCCGTAGTGGTCCCATTTCATTTTGAAGGGAATCACCCACCTCGAAGGGTGGCTGTTCACGCTTGATGATTCATATTTATAAATAGCGCCTAAATTTTCTTAAGGAGCAATTATTTTAATGGTTGATTTTGCTATTTCTTCAATTCAAGGCGTTTTTCGCTCAATAATCTTTGAGTAGTAAGAACCGATTTTTATTATCTCCAGTGTTAAGTCCTATATAGTGGCGAATTTAAGGATACTTCAATAAAACTTAGCAAATAGATGTAGTTCCACGTACTTTTGCGGTCGTTTTTTTAGTACTCTATACTGAGATGATTATTTATTTATTTGCAAACTTTACAGCTTTTAAATTTGGTTTACAATTCTGAATAATCTACTTACATAGCTAATTACAAAGTTTGTCCGATTACAATTCATTGTTTAACGTTACATAAAAACTAATTCGATGCCAGAACGAAGCCTTTGTTGTTTACCAAAGAACAATCTAACAAATTGAAATATATATTGATAACATATAACTAAATTCCGTTGTATTAATAGATTTAGACATAAATTTTTTAATTACTATGAAGCGACTTACAATATAACATAATAAACAAATGGACTATAGTAGAGTATGCGCATTTGTGTGTCTACTTGTGTGAAGGTGTATGTGTATATGTGTGTTTGTGCTCTGTGTAACAATAATTACCTTTTAAAGTGGGGGTGTTCCATCAAAGAATTAATAAATTTGTTGCGGTTCAAAAAGAAGATACCAACAGTCTTTAAATTTGTCCTCGTATAATACAATTAGTAGCAGTAGAGCACCTCGTAAAAGGGTTCGCGATTTAAAGCTCTGTGTGCCACTGCAACTGCTATGGACAGGCGTGTCGCTTAACACCAGACGCACTACTTTTACGTCCCGTTATAAGCAATAATGATAATGAATATCAATGTCCAATTAGATGTCTTTGAAATGACACTCAACCACGTTTGAATCAGCAAATTCTTATCAAGATAAAATAATTCCCGAAGGAGCCGTTGGAAAGAAATTGCATTTTTCGTCACTCACATAATATAGAGCAGTGGTTAGAAGATCTCATTATCCGAAATGAAAACAATTTATTTTTTATGATTTTTTTTAAAGTACGCAATACACATTTCTGACCATTTTTCCAGTCTTAAAATGTTAAAATTCGTTACGAGCATGAACAGTGAAAAATTATTTAGTGTAATTCTAGCGACTTTGTCATTTTCTGACTGCGGTGTAAAACTTTCCAGGTTCTTCTGGAAACCGAGCGTTCCCTCCGTCTGACTCGTGAAGAGCGTCTGCGTTGGCGTGAACTGATCACGCATGAAAGCACTCTGCGACGTGAGCTTTCCAGATCCTCCACCCGCGACGAGTTCACCAGAGTGGCTCATGATCATAGGTTCGCGCCTCTGTATCCACCACACAAGTGGGAGGTCATCATCAGGATTCTAGCACCGCCACCTGACAAACCTAAGGTAATGATTGCAATATTTTTATTGAATATCATGATGTTATAATTATTAATAGAAAGATCGAACACACAGAAAAAATTCCGGCCGTATTCGAATCGACGTCTTCTAGCATACCGTGTCAGATGCTATACTAACTAAGACACGGAACGAATCAGCGGACCTCACGAATTTTTCTATGTGCTTGAGTCTTATCTTTGTATTCGGTTTTTCAACGACTTTTTAGCCGTAACGCCATCTATGAGAAACCTATAATGTTTCGTCACCCAGTTAGATACCTTTACAGCTACCAGCCCCGGCAAGAGATGTCGCTATTATTGAAATTTTTATTGAATTGGTATTCAATTATTTTCATGTGAAACCGTTTTTAGTACAATGATATTTATTACTTTTTGTGAAAATACTACACTAGTTTGTTAATATGCGGCAATTTATTCCATAAGCGTGACCAATATTCAGTCGATACTCGATAGAATATTTATCGACTGCAATCACTAGCTGTTCGCAAGCGGGCACCACTTTTACGCAATGAACTGTCATTTTACTCCGTCTTCGAAAAAGGCAGATTATAACTGAGGTAATGATTTTTGAGCTTTCAGAACGTTTACATGTTTTATACCACTGATGAGTTCTAAAAAGCTTTATCACATGCGTATTATCGGGGCATTTAAATATTTACTTAAAATTCGAAAATAAATTCCACTATTTGAGAAAGCGATATCAGGAACAATACAAAGATGGCGACGGCAGGCGAACAGAAAAACTCAATCGAAACGAGCCTGCCTGAACGAACTAGTTTTGTAATCGTGAAAATAGAGAGGGCAGCAAGTTTAAGCTTGACCCCGGGCGGCAGAAATCAACGCTGCGCCACTGTCTTCCACCTAGTTCCGGCCTAATCAATGCGCCGCGGGCACTTCTGGCTAATCAGAATGCATTACCTCGAGAGATTTAGTCCTCCTCCCTCGCTTACCCTAACCGGTCAGGCGCGACTCGGCCGTCCGTAACACTCATATATACATCTCTTTACTACATTGTAATTTTCTTGGTTTCTAGAATCGCTACCGCAAGAAGAGTGAATGGGACTCCCGCTCTCGCCGCAGCTCTTTGCCGACATTGTACGAGTATGACAGCGACGCTACATCGCTGAGAGATCCGCAGCGCTCGCGCAGGTCGTCCTACCGCAGCGACCACGTTGACATGCGGTAAGAACTTATGATAATGCCCTAAATAAAACTTTCGGGCCTTTTTTCCTCTCATTACACGATTATGGCTGTAATGAGAATAAAATGTATAAACGAGATGATGTAGAACAACCTAATGCTTTACCAGATAAAGACAAAACTATAAGGCGACATCCTATTGTTATCCCTTGCGCGATGATGCGTGCGTCTGACGAAAATGTCCGCACGACCGCGCGTTCAAACATCTGTGTTTTTTTTTTGTCAACATTTGTAAAAATCTTCTTTTTTCCGTAAGTCGAAATTATGATTGCGAAATTCGCCGCGCCTCTTTCTGTTTTTATGGAGTAGTATATTATGTGGTCCACGTTTTGCTATTTGCGTTGAAAGAAATATTATTCGACGGCAATAGCTGTGCGTCTCTGTTAAGAGCCATTTCGAGGGTGATTGCATCGCTCCAAAATATGACACACGATTTCTAATCGCGCGACTGGTTTCATCGCACGATGAAATCGCATCGCATCGTGACAATAGGACGGCGCCTAAGACGAACAAGAACATGTGTTATGCTCTCTCGAATGATGTGACGCCAAAATACGCTTTAGCAACAATAGAGTTCCTAATTAAAGAGTTTGTCCAGGCAAGTACTGCCACTTCATATGTTTCTACCGCCAACCAGTAATGGGAGCAGGTTTTGAAGGGTATGTCAGAGTAACGAGATCTTTGCGATTTAACTCTGAATGACATTGCAATTGCTATGGATAGGCGTGTCACTTACCACCAGGCGCACGGCTTGTTTGTCCCGTCACTGGCTATCATAATAAAGAAGTTTTGTTTTCTATTTCCGTTGTTTTTTTTTTGGTTCTCAATTCGACTGTATGTTCTTTTTTTTTCTTTTTGTTTGTATGTTACGCGATAACTCCAGTATTTGTGAACCGATTTTCATGATTCTTTTTTTGTTAGAAAGGGGGTACTTCCATAGTGGTCCCATTTCATTTTGAAGAAAATCATCCACCTCGAAGGGTGGCTGCTCATGAGTGAAGATTCACTTTTATAAATAGCGTCTAACTTTCATTTAGGAGCAATTACTTTAATGGTTGATTTTGCTATTTCTTCCATTAAAGGCGTTTTTCTCTCAATATACTTTGAGTAGTGTCGTAGTGAGAACCTATTTTTATTATCCCCAGTGTCAAGTCCTGTATAGTGGCGAACTAGGGGATATTTCAATAAAACTTAGCAAATAGACGTAATTCCACGTACTTTTGAGGTCGGTTTTTTTAGTACTCTGTACTGAGATTATTTATTTGCCAGAATACAGTAATGATGAAGGTCTTAAATAAAATTAGGTACATTGTATTCAACCTGCAAGCAGATGTGCAAATATTAATTTCATGTTTTGTTTCTACTGTTAATTGCACTTTAAATTAATGTAAATTTTTATTTGGAAATTCTAAGTATTCTTTATTACTATAGAAGCAATATGTCAAAAACCATTTTGTCAATTGTAATTTAAAAGTATGTCCTTGCAACAATTTAATTTAATTTGGCAAATTGTTGAAAATAATTATACTCATGTTGAAGCAGTTTTTCTTATAAATCACTTTATGGCAACGAGGTTGGCACAAAAGATTCATAATTTTTGCTCTAGTCTGCCTTTGATTAATTTCACCACGTGTTTTGAAGTATTGAGGAAAAGTTTTGACAAATACAGATATCCCTAATGTACATGCTTGGCAAAGGCAGTATGTTTAGTTTTTTTGAACAGCGATTGTTTCTGCTCCGTTCAAATAAAGTGCCTCTGTGTTACAGAAATAATAATATTCTTTGTCTATCTTAATAGTGTCAACGTTCTTTCTGTGTTAATAGCGTCGCGGATTATTATAATAATTGCTTCGTTGCTTTCCAGGTCTATGTCGGAGATGATGGTGGACTACGCACGCGAGCAAGCTGATACGCATTCCGAGGTGTCAGGAGGAACTCAGCTCGGAAGATACTACGATGACGACAGCGATATGGAGCACCCTTTCCATCAGAATCAGTTAGTACATCTTCATTAGTTCGATCTAAGCATATTAGTTGACACTTAAGAAATAAACTTTGTTGGTTAAGACAGAGGTGTTTAAATCGTGTAACAATGTTTTTATTATCGTGTAACGTCTAAAATTCCGTTGCCTGAGAGAATCATATTTTTCATAGCAAAAGCTTTCTCTCAGATACACGATATTGAGTTTGTTGGTTTAAAAGAAATAGTATAAAGGTCCATTTACTCAGAGAGAGTTGTTTCTTGACTCGAAGATACGATTAAAGAAATAATTTGATTTTTTTTTTATTTTGACATTCGCAATTTACGCCCTTTTACGTGAGTGATAACCACCTCGCCATTTGACCATTAAACGCATCGAGTATATCATCAGAAATGGAGACGAAATAAGGGCCATCCATCCCTGGCAAATGGGCCATCCATCCCTGGCAAATGGGCCTTATTTTACTTTCAAATATCAACTCTCGTTTGCACTGAAATCACAAATTCGAAAGCTGAAATAGTACAGCGCCAACAACTGTCCAAAAATCTTCTGTATTTATTGTAATAAAGATAATATTTCTAACAATGGGGGCTGGTCCATTCGGCGGTGTTGGAAAAACAGCAAAACATCTAATTAGCAAACAAACAGAATCTTTAAAAAAATTTGAAGTGAAACAATACGACACCCGTCAATTGTTTCGAATTCGGGCTGGCCAATTTTATATACTCGATGCTTGCCACCCAGGCGCACGACTTGTTCATCTCGTCACGTTGGTATCATAGAAAACCTTTTCATCACACTTGCTCGTAAACAGTGTCATGACATGCAGACAAAGTCGACCGTAATGTCTTAAATTATGCACACGGGCTGTTATGGATTTTTTACGTCAAGCAAATTAAGCAAAAAATTTTTATGCTCGAAAAATCTGATATTTCAAATCTTATATTTCAAATTTGTGCGAAATATGCGTATATTTCGCACAAATTTGAAATATAAAAAAAAAACGAAAAATTTGCAATTTAACTACTTTTCTTTTATTGAATTTATTTCTTGTATTCAAATTGTGCGGTATTTTTAGAATTTGGAAAGAATCTGTTCCTTTTACAATATTTTAGTGCGAGTTGTATATTATGTATGGAAAAATACCTGGCGATCTGTTTAAAAAAAAAAAACAAAAAACTCCATTTGCAAAATCCGTAAAAGTTGCGTTGTGAAGCGATATAATATTCATTCAAGAAATAAATTATATTTGTATCTATTTCCTCGCAAATGTGATAAAACATCACGGGCGGTAAAAATTACAAACCTCGAGTCATTAGAGCCCTCAGCCTTCGGCTTCGGGTTTCTAACAACCTCTCGATGGTAATTTCTTATTATACCGCCCTTAATACACAGTGTACTAAAGCAAACTCAATATCCTTAGATCCTGGTCCCGTCACTCGCTGAACCGGTCAGTCAGCCAACCGTCTCTCGCTCGTTCGGCTACTGAGGTGGTCGAGCAATGGACAGCGCCTGAAGGTGACGTCACTCCTACACCTGGACGACGGGTTAGAGGTAAGCATTATGCATATGGGCCATATTAAGTATAAAAGCCTTTGTAGCATAATAGTTTGACTTACCATTGGCTGGTGTTGCCACTCCGGACGTCCGTAGCGACGTGCCTATCTTCCTGCAACGCTTAAAAAAAGAGACTTACACGTGGCACCCATTACATCATCACGTGCCGGTAATAAAAGAATCGCCATAGCTTCATTAAAGAAGTATACCCTCTGGACGGGGAAACTAAGCAGGCTCGAATAAGTCTCTGGAAGGAGAGATACCCCTAAATAGGCTGCGGACCCAAGTCGGCCGAAGCAAGGAGTGCATGCACGGGTGGGGTTACAGCTCGGAGAGCAAGTCCGTGTGTAGTCTCTCCCCAGACAATGGCACATCTTTTGTCCAGCCCTGCGTGTCCCTGCTACTACTTCGGATGTCGCTTGTGCACTAAGTCCGATTCCAATCCGAGAAAATACGGATATCGCTGGTACGCAGAGATGAAATGATTCCTGCGATATTTCGGACCGTCATTTCTCGGATTCGGAACTGGGGGTCTACTCTCGATATCCGTCTGACATCCATCCGAAACAATTACTGTCAAATAAGTAATATTCGACAAAATTAAAAGACAAGTATCAAGAATGAAGCTTCATTCGCATCACGCGTCTTTTCATTTGGTCAAGTATTGCTTATTTGGCAGTAATTGTTTCGGACGGATGTTGGACGGAAATCGAGAGTAGACCCCCTGATACGAATCGGACGTATTGCATAAACGCTCTTAGTGTATACGATTGCAGCTGTATGAACACAAATAATTTTCATATGTTCACGTTTAAGTTATACATAAAAATATATAATAGTAATATGTTCAAAATAATATTACAGGTGCTCAAGGATTGACGACGTTCACATCATCCGAAGTCCGCACGTTCCAGGCTTCGTCAAGGGACTGGCGTGATTAAATACTGCGAACGTTTAAATGTAATTTTAATAAGTCCAACGAAAATATGCCATTTCAATATCTTTATAAAAATCATTGTAATTTATTAAAAAAGAAAATGTAAAAGTTCAATAATAGGGAACGTACAGTGGCTATAGTTATTATGGTTGGGTTCTAGATGGCGTCACTAGCCATTTAGATCAAGAGCGGTCTTTGTAAGCAACAGCTGACTTTACTGACTGGTAGTGTAATCAAACATCATTAGAATTTCATTTGTTGTGAATTTTTTAACAGATCGAAAAGTTAATTAATGATTGATACATAAGATTTAGAATCGATTGACAGTCATGTCTAATTCAATGTAGATTCCCGAGTCTGCCATAAGATGGCGCTTACAGTCACTTGTTCGTCCTCTATTTTGGAAAAAGAAGATTTCTTTCTAAAAAAGAAAGACTGCAAATCACAGTCTTTTTTTCTAGAAAAGAAAGAAAGAAGTAAGCGTACTTAATTTTTGCAGCTCAAAAACTCAATAAGAGGTGATAATTATCACTGCCTTTGTTAATAAGTACATTCCATTTGTATTAAGTACATTCCGTCCTTTTGCAACTAATATACCTGTGTAAGTGACATAATAATTATATAAGAGATTTTATTTTTTATTTTTATCACTAGTCGATGGTGTAGCAGGCTTAACAATACGGAAACTGTTAAAATTTAAATAAATAATGTTCAAAAGTATCATAGACATTCAGGAAACTCAAATCATTAAAGATATCTGATTTAAAATTTGTTATGGAAAGATTTTATTAGAATTATTTGATAATTCGGTGGATTTTCTGCAAAATAAAAAAATAAAAAATATGTCAACTATTTCTTAGGTCAGAAAAAATAGGCTGTTTGGCATTATGCCAAAGCCGTTAAAATTCTACATAATCATCGTCCTAGTTTACCATTTAGAGAAAAGGTTAACTAATAAATGCATAGTATAATTTTATATAAATATTAATAACAATAAGTTACAGTAATATAAAAATGCAATTATTTTTCATAATATTTTTAAACTAACGTGCCAAAATAAACATTAAAATAATGCATCCTAACACCCAGTTTTCCATTATGATATTAATTTTAATTTTGTACCTGTAATTTAGGTATTATTTTTATTATTTAGTAGATATTAATGCATGTAGAAAGAAATTTGTACTGTCAAGGAAGTCGTGTCAAAAAAGATTTTTAACGCTTTTTTGTGCGATTAATTCAGATTTTTATAATGCTAGTTATTTGATAACCTGCTACTTTAGTTCTGTTGTAAATAATATTTTGTGTAATGGGTCGATTACTAAAAAACCTAGCAGTCAAGGCAAGACTCTTGGTAAAAAAAAAAGATTTTTTTTTATTTTATGCTTCGGCAGAATGGTAATTGTGTTACATATTTATCTTGCCTTGATTGCTATGTATGTGTGGGTTTAAGGGAAAGGGATTTGTGCAAATGTGCTCAAGTGAAAGGTTGTATTTTTTATTTGGAGTATCTGTTCACTTTTTACGGTCTCCATTTAAAAAGATGTTACAATTAGAATTCAATCTTGATCAAAATAAATAGTGCGGTGCTAAGTGAAAATAATATTTTTATATGTCAAACTTGATTTTTTGGTTTAATGTAGAGCGTATTACAAACCGATTGATATTCCGAATTTTGATATTTTTAATCAAATATACGTACCTTAACAATTATTCTGGTTTTCATTCTAATGTGATACCCTTTGCATAAGCGTGTCTTATTCCAATCCAGTGTGTCCATGGTCGAGTTTTTGAAATTTGACTAACCAGAAAAAACACGACTTTTTTTAGTGGAATCAGATCTAAACTAGGTGTTGTGGTTCTCTAATTGAGAATAAGCTTATTCCAGCGTGGACAATAAAACACCCTTATAACTTTTGAACGACGGGCCGACTAATTCTAGTTTTTTAAACCGACTAAATAGAGACTTTTTTATTCTGGCAACATTTCAATTTTTTTTTATTCTGGCTATATTTCAAATACTCGACCATGGTCACGATGGAATAAGACACGCTTTGCATAAATATACAGTAGAGATTTACAAGAATTTCATATGTATTAGTTATTATTTCATATACACTAAAATAGTGGTTTCGAAGAAATAATTTCGGCGAGTACGCGATGGGATTGCTTAATTTGATTCAGCCATCCCCTTTCCATCATCGGGGGACTAGACGTGAGCTGGGGTTCCACTCCTATGTTGTGGATATTCCCAGGATTTACACGAAGCGTTTCGCTTCCTATGGCGTTTGTATGGCGAGCGGATGGGGAGTGGAATTCCCCCCTTTTTTTTTGTTTACGCGGGGGAAATCTTTATAAATACCCCCAGCCCAGGGAGACTCACATAACTGTGGGGACTCGCCCTCCAGACTGGAGGGCCTACCCCACTAAAACCCCCCCGGGCTTACCTACCGCCGGTTGAGTCGGCGTCGTGGGGTTATTGTTTCCTCTAAGGCGGCCAATACAACGCACACATTCAACATAGCCCCGCACTAGGGAAACCCTGTGTCACGGATGCCACGGACCCACACATAGACAACCACAAATGACACCCAAACTCACAAGAGAAATAAATGTAGGCCATACAAATATTTGTCCTCGCCCGAGAATCGAACCTGGGACCTATGCGTGGCATGGTAACCGTTCGGCCACGGAGGCAGTTAATAGCCTAGCCTAGCCAATAGCTTTGTGCCAGTGTCAACTATGGGTATCACGGAAAAGTGTTTGGTGTGTGGTAGGTATACCGAATTGTCAAAAGTTTACAATAGAGCCCATTGACTTACAATTATATGGACGTCGGGTCCGCGCTAAAAAGGGTCCGCACTTGTAAGGCGCTAAAATCGTATACAGAGCGCGACACTCCGCTTTAGTCTTCATTTGTTCTACGGACAGCGCGATACTGCGATGACATAACAATTTAAATTTCGAATAGGTTGACTTGGGACATTTTTTTCGTGGTTTTTGTATTGGACCCGTCGTCCATTTATTTGTAAGTCAATGATAGAGCCCGTTAAAAATGTAATAATGTGACATTGATAATATGACTTGTCATTAAATGATTATATACTATTATCCTCCCACCTAAAATCCCGTTAATTTTAACTTCTTCCTAACGTTCTCCCACCGTTACCACCAGTACCATTCTCACTTTGTGCATATGCTGTGTAAATTTATTTAAAATAAACAATTTGTTTCTGTAATAGCCTGTGTAGGTTCTCTATTATTGTAGATTCACCTCTCAGTGGATTCTATCGAAATTCAACGGTCAATTTTCGAGTAAAATCGCGTGTGATCCTAAACTTGACATTGGCGAAATTATCGATTACTTCGATGGGGTTATAACATTCAAAAGAAGAAGAAGACGTATGTAGTCGGCTTTACACAGACACTCTATTGCGCATGATACAATAACCGAGCGCGCGTGCAAAGACGTTGGAGGGAAAAAGGAAAGATTGTGCTTACCAGACGCGTGCTATCGCGCACTTTAACACGCGTCAGTTTCATGCGGTCCATCTTGCGCTATTAGCCTTTACACGAACGTTCTTTCCGTTCTAATAAAAACGAACACGAGCAATCGCGCGCGGAAGAACGTTACCTTAAAAAATTTCGGTTAAGGTTGCGCGTGCCGGCTTTCCCGCGCGCATTCCTGTACGCTCTAATCGCACGATATAGAGTGACTATGTGAAGGGGGCAATTGTCTTCTATTCTATAGATGGCGGCTTTTTTCATCAACCAGCTGGCTAGGAATGTAAAAAGCAATTTCTAATGAAGTAAACTTTATTTAAATTTAAATAATATAAATTCACTTTTTAAGAGCATTTTATTTATTCGAATATAAACTCAGTTTTTAAAGGTATAGTAAACTACGCCACTTATTAATAAGCTTTCAATTGTTAAGATTTGAAAATGGACGTAAAACACGTAACGTGAGACATTCTTATGAACTACAGCAGTAAGAAATAAATTTAAAATTCTCTTTGATTTATATCATTACAAGACATATATGTATTTTATACGATATTAACGTCACATGGAACAAATTTTGCATGTTCTATATAATAATTTACTATACACTTATATTATTCTATAAAGAACAAAAATGCCTGGAAAGTATAAGAGGTATAGATATAAGAAAACAACATTTACTGTATGTAGAGTTCACTAATTTACAATTCTAAAGTACATGCAACTTAGACACTCGGGCTAAGCTATTTTGATTAATAACAATTAAAACTCTAAATTAGTTTTATTAAGAAACATTAACCGCACTTTCAGATTTATTTACAGATTTCTTTTTCTAGATTTTATATAGTTCTATGCTAATACGAAATTTAAACATTCATACAAACATTATTTGTAAGATGTCAGTGTTAACTGGTCAACGTTTTCAAATCCTTTTTATAACATCGTCCCTTTCCTAGTTGCTTCATTTGACATTTTTGTACTATATGTGTAAAAGCGGCAATGGTCCGTGATTTTATAAATTTCTCCGCACGGGCGATGACCACCGATAGCCACACACGCCCTTTCATGTTAATAATCAACCAATTACAAAATATCAACCCATAGCCGCGGACCAATTTTCGCTACGCGTTGATTCAAGCACAGCTACGGACGTGAATGCGCTCATACGAGGTCATTGGTAAAAACACGAATCGTGGGCAGCTTTTATATATATATATTAAGGGCGCTTTCAAATAAAACCGTTGGAAAACAGCTGCAGTGGTGCGACTATGACTGCACGAATTTTTAGTTCACTAATTGTGACTGCAAAAGTGGCGCGCGCCTGTCACACCGTGCCGCTGCAACTGCGCTTTTAAATATTATACCAAAATTAGTATAATGTTTAAAAGTGCAGTGGCGCCACATTTGTAGTTACAGTTACACACATTTTCGACTAAGCGGCCGCGACTAGCTTACTTATTCCTGTGAAGTAAAACAGAGCCGCGCGAAACCATCCGCACGCCGCTAGTCGCTTAGTGGAAAATAGCACTTAGTAAACTAAAAATTACTAATAATTGCAGTCGTTGTTAACAAATGTCTTAACATTTTAAAACTTTCAAAATCTGTTCTATAGTAACAGGCTTATGTCTACCGTACACAGAACGAGGTTGACACGCGCTAGATCTCAAAACTTGAAGTTCAAAAGATGTTTACGCAGTCATCAGGAAAAGGACGACATTACGTAACGATTTTGTGTTCGAGTGTAGTCTTTATAAACATGAACATTTAAGCTCAATTTACATTGTCGTGGAACGGATTATAATATGCGTAGCTGCGAGAATTCCCAAGACTGCACGACAACTTTTCGGAAGACGCGCGACCTGTTTATGGCTTGTACTTATCTATTTTGTACGTTACCTTGTTCAGCTATGGTTACAAAAATTCACTTCCATTTTGTTCCGTGGCAATGTAAATTGAGCCTTGAGATCATTGACTTACAATTATATGGACGTCGGGTCCGCGCTAAAAAGAGACCGAACTTATAGGGCGTTCAAATCGTATACAGAGCGTCATTCACGCTTTAGTCTTCGTTTGTTTCTTCTGACAGCGAAGCAAGCAAAATTAGACAGTACTGCGATGACATTACAATTTAAATTCAACGTTTTAGCTTTTTCATATTCCTTTAAATGTCACTACGTTTAAATAGGTTGACTTGGGACATTTTTTTCGTGGTTTTTGTATTAGACCCGTCGTCCATTTATTTGTAAGTCAATGCTTGAGATGAATGAAGAAGCGAATTCAGAAAAACTCGAATCATAATTTATTATGTTAACAAATAAATGTTATTTCAATTGTGGTTTCTTCTAGCTACAGTCACGATATGGAGTATAATCTTTAGGTCCCTTTCCTTTGGCATCTGTTTATACGGCAATTTTGTTTGGCATTTTGACAGTTTCTTTTATGTCTCATTATCTCAAATAGTATGATGACGGCTAATACAACAAAATTACTTCTGGGTTAATTGTTATACATCTGTTAATAGAAATCCACACGTTTCTTCTCATTACTTTCTTTGTCGAAGTCAAGTTTTCATTTACAAGTAGATTTATAGAATGTCATTAAATAATAAATACGGGTCTACAGGTGTTACGAAAAGATCCATTGGCTTCATGAAATATAATTCTGGGGTTGTAATTCATATGCTGTGGTCCATCAAATTTTCTATCTACAAGATTGTCTGAAAGATATTGAACACTTAAAGTTTGATAAGCATCACTTGCCCTAACGTCCAAAATCCCTTTAAATTTGACTGATAGAGCCAAGTGATTGACGTCTTCTAGTTACTTGCTTCCAGAACCTTTTCTCGAATTGTTTTTCCTGTAAAAATTGTGTATTAGGAACAAATTATGGGTGCTATTTGAACGGAGCGAGAGACTATACAAAATCAAGACTTTAAAAACAAAATTGAACTTTTTTTTCCAATTTCTTTACACTCTTCCCCATCTTTACTTCTCAGAAGTAATGATTAGGTGAAAAATCTGCAAACAGATACTTGTTTGAAGTAAGTCTCGAATTGTTTTAATTTGTCATTCGTCTCTTTGCTCCACTCCGTTTTCAATTCCAAAAGCGTTTTTTACAGCACATAGTGAAAAATCTATCAATTTTTGTCAGACGTTCGTTGCTCTAGCTTAAAAGTCAAATCCCTTATGTTATTTTTGTTCAAATAAAAAACGCATACGTCTGACAAAAAAGGGAACGTAGGTGGAGATTGAACTAAGTGAAAACTAGAATTTATATAGTGATGAGAGTAAAGTCAAATCGTCTTTGAAATGTTTTAAAGAAGTATTCACTTCGACTGAAGATGGAGTTAGTGTAAATATTGTTGATTAAATAAGTTAGGGGGAATTGTAAGAGGATACTGATTACATTAAATTAGAAATCGGGGAAGGAAGCAAAGCTGGAGCGCAGGATGAAGAATGAAATGCGTAATGGGTTTTTAATAAAAATATATTTCGGACATTTGTTCGAAAATGGACAGTTCAGATAAACAAATTAGCGTCGTAAGCTGGATTTAAACATCAGTTACCTAAAATTGTAACAATAGATGCAAGAATTGACATTAGAATTAGAGCCAAGAAGAATAAAGGTACAACAATTTCACCAAATGGTAATTTTAAAATTACTTATGAAGTAAGAGGGGTATAGTTTAATAACATGGAAACATGTGATTATAAAGTTTTTGAGGTTAATAATTAACAATTTTTTAATTATAGCTTCTAAAAAGATTAAAATGTTTAAAAAGGCAATTTCATTGGCCGTTACATTCACTAATTTTCACACGTTCTCACTACGTTTTTGTATTATAATTTACTTAACTAATTTTTATCAGCACGCGATTTAAGACAAATCTTAAAAACTTTTAATTTAACCTACGATGAACTTTAAACTAGGTTTTCCCAAAAGGTCTTTATTAAAATTATGAAAACATTGTTATTTTGTTCAAGAATTGGATTCATAAATTCCTCATTACTTATTTTTAATCGTTTCGATTCTTAAAAACATTCCATGGCAGTGCAGAATCCGTCTACTATGTAACTTATTTCACCATTTATTTTAAATCTATAATAGTTATTAAAAAAAAATCGACAATAGATATTAAATTCAAAGGCATTAATTAATGTCAGGAAACAACAATATCAAAGTTTCTAACTAACATAAAACTTAGTTCTAATTTTTGTATTCGTTTCAAGAAATCAGTATTTAATGGAACCGAGAGAATTTTCTCGAAACGTTTAAATCCAGCTGTTTGCGTTGGCACAGAGAAGCGTGCGCGTGCGCTTACACATAGCCATTGACAAAGCAAATCTTGTAATAGCCGTTGTTGCTCACAGTCGTGCGGCGCGGGGAGAAGGGGCGAGGGGACGAGCCGAGCAAGAGCGGCTCGCGCCGGGGGCTATCGGATGAGGCGCGCCGGCGTAGAAAACCCAATCTGGAAATTTAGACAACGATCCAGATAGTAATAAAAAGTAGAAAAGAAACAGAAGATGCCAATTTAAAAGAGAACATATAACAGGAGAAAAGGAAGCAAGAGATGGTCAGAAAATAAATTGTTGTAGAAGTTAAACAGATACTTGTTCAATAAAATATTACTATAACAAGACAATTTCTTTTTTTTTTCGTTTTATTTATAAGCACTAGTAATGTACATTAAAAATGAATTACAATCTATTCAAATACAGGATTAATAAGTAATTTACATTTCACTTAAACTAATAAATAAACAAATTATACTAAGAATTCACCCACTGGCAATTTTCTTATTATCTTTTAAGGCGAAGACACTTTTATCATGTGTTCTTTTTATTCAGTGTCACGGGCACTATTTAGTTAAACGTCTTATAATATCTATGTGGTCAAGGAGCTGAATGGCCTCGACGTTCATGTAATGGTGAAGCCTGCGTTGGTGGGCTTCGGCGTACTTATGAGCTATCTTGTCTACGAATTCTATTTCCAAGTCTCGATGGAGGTTTTCGTTTCGTGCGTACCAAGGTGCATTTACAATGTTCCTAAGTACTTTATTCTGAAAGCATTGGATAATATTTATATTGGTCTTTGCGGTGGAGACCCAGAGCTATATACCATAGGTCAGACATTAGGACCTGCCTATACAATAGTAGTTCATTGCTTAAAGATAGCGTAGAATGTCTGCCAAGCAGCGAATACATATTTCTGTAACGAATGTCTAGTTCTTCTCGTTTTTTCTTGACGTGGACTTTCCAGTAAAGCTTGATGTCAAGTGTCATGCCAAGTGTCATGTCATGTCACGCAGTATTCTCATATGATATTTGTTTGTTTATAGGTTTCTTATAGCTAAAGTGTATATGCGCTGACTTTGATTCGTTAAGCTTAATGCGCCAAATTTTAGTCCATTCGTAGAATACGTTCAAAGAATGCTGCACTTTTTCTATTGCTTCATCATAGGTGTTTCCAACTGCCATTATTGCTGTGTCATCAGTAAGCTATAGTGCTGTTTTCTAGGTCTGGAATATCAGCAGTCTATAGCAGGTAAAGGATAGGGCCTAGTACACTTCCTTGAGGTACTCCAGCTTCAATTTTCTTCGGTTCAGAGAAGTTTCCATCTTGTCGTACTCTAAAGAACCTGTTAGCAATATAGGATTCTAATATTTCTGCGAACTGTTTCGGCAATCTAGACTTAAGCTTGTGAATGAGTTCTTTATGCCAAACTTTATCAAAAGCTTGGTCAACATCCAAGAGTACAGTAGAGCAAACTTTTTGTTTTCTAGAGTGTTTTCAATTATGCTGGTGATTCGGTGCACTTGATCTATGGTAGAATGTTGTTCTCTGAAACCAAATTGATGGTCGGGCACCAGATTGTTTGCTTCGAGTATGGGCTTCAGCCTTTTTAACAAGAACTTTTCAAATTACTTTGACATTATTGGTAACAAGGATATAGGCCTGTAGGAAGTTGCTTCGTGTGGAGACTTCCCAGGCTTAGGAATCATAATTACCTCAGCCATTTTCCATAACTCCGGCACGAAGCTCAGCCTAAAAGCAGCATTAATAATAATAATAATTTTATTTTATAAGAGTTGTTAATTTTACGATAGCTTTTCGAGGAAGATTTCTTAGAATTTCTCCCGTTATAAGATCGCACCCAGGAGATTTTTTGGGTTTTATCTTCATTTTAATTTTTCTTTGAACCTCTCTTGGGGTAACATGTTTAATCACCAGGACTTCTTGTAGCTATTGAAAAGCTCCTTTTTGAAGGCAATTCTCCTGTCGTCCCTTCATTGGGTTGAAAAAATTTCTCTAGGTGTTCTGCGAACTTTTTGGCTTTTTGTAAATTAGTTTTTGCCCAATCCCCGCTGCTATCTCGTATTGGCGGGATATGCACGATGGGTTTATTCTGATTTTTAATAGCTTTTCAGAGTGGAAATGAGAGTGTGTAAAATAATTAGTAGTACTATTATTAGTCAGTTGCTTTAGTACTGCTCTGATGCTTTCCTCCTTGTACTTCTTTATTTTCCTTGTTAACATTTTGGTTACGTTATTCAGTAAAACTTTGTCATCCGGTGACCTAGTTATGTGCCACCGTTTTCTCTGTTTCCTTTTATGAGCTAGCAGATCTATTATTTCTTTTGATATGTTACTCGCTGTGATTTCCGTAGAAAGCAAGGTGTGTTTTTTGTAACAGCTTCTTGGATATTGATTATAAACTTTTCTAAACCTTGTTCAATGTCACTTGGTATTTTCAAAGCGACTTTTAGGCCTACGAGACTGTTAAGATCACTTTTAAAGCTTTCCCAGTAAGTGTGCTTGTTTACAAGAGCTGGAAGATTCTGTGAACGTGTTTCGATGATGTGTTTAGTTAAATGCAGAATTATGGGTGAACGATCAGAGCGCATGTCATCACTTTCTTCTATATTTAAGTAGTTTGATGATATATTTTTATAAATAAAAAAGTCTATAAGGTCTGGAATTTTGTTGGTATCAGTTGGCCAATATGTTGGTTTTCCTGTAGATATTACACTAGATTTCATCTCCTGAATTCCTTTCCACAGTTCTCTTCCGTCAGTTCTCGTCATTCTGGAACCCCAGATGACATTTTTGGCATTGAAGTCCTCGCCAATGATAAATTTGTCTCCTAGGTTATTCATAAACTGTACGTAGTCATCTTTTTTCAGTAAATGTTTAGGAGGGCAATACATTGCTGCTATAGATACAGTATATGCTTTAGTGCTAATGCATATTGCTATAGTTTGAGCTCTCCTATCCTCCCATTTATACAATTGGTACTGTTTCAAATTAGCCTTAATGACCACACTTCCATGTATTGCATGGTATATTTTATAACCATCCATCACGATAGTTGAGTCGTAGTGCAATGCGTTTCAGTCACAAGGCAGATGTCGATTTTTTCAGTCTCGAGGACTAATTGTGGTTCTTGATAATGATTAAGTAGTCCATTGCAGTTCCACGTCATAGTTTTAAGGTTTTCAATCATTTTTGTAGTCTAGGTTTGGTACCATTTTCTACGTGTCTCAGGCGGGCTAGTCTATCTAGTGATGCTACATATTTAAGTATTTCATCGAGTTTATTTTCAAAACTCGGTTTACCTTTTGTGATCTGGGCATACGTGTGGCTAGTATTGTTATATGTTTGTTGCTGTGGGCATGGTGTAGGTTTCGTTACTTTTGGCATTGACTTAGTTGCCTTTGTGGCGGTCTCATCTCGTTGCCTACTGTTCGTAGGTTTTTTGGCATATTTGGACTTTATTTTCTGTATTTCTCTGGCGACTATACGCCCTCTATAGTTTGCTGGGTGTAGTTCTCTACAATGTACGCATTTGAGTTTTTCACTTGACGGCTTCTTACAATCTATAGTAAGATGCTGTACATTTCACGCAACTGGGATTTTAGCACAGTATTTTTGTGTGTGACCATACGCTTGACACAGCTTATATTGTGGTACAAGTTTCGAGGTTTTTAATGGATGTGTATGGAGTTTACATCCCATAATAGATTTTATATTACAGATTTTGTTTAAGTCCTCATCTTTCGTGAAGGTTAGCATAAACATATCTAGAGGTTGCTCGTTTTTCCATCTTAATTTGTTGACATCTTCGAAAATTTTGTAGCCTTTGTTTGACAGGTCTTCGACATTCGTTCTGGCTAACACGAGGGTGGCAACTTTTTTGCCATCACTCTGATAGGTCTTTCTTTTTTATTTTCACATGAGTGCCAACGAAAGTTCTGAGTATTTAGCACTCTGGTAATCGATTTATACGACTCTTCATTCGCTGCGGTTATTTTTACACAGTTATTGCTCATAATTTTTACAATAAATGAGTCGGCTTGTTGATTTTCAGACAAAAAGTCAAAGAAGGTCTGGTAGTCCTATACTTTGTCCGCTATTATTGGGGGTGGTAGTAGGACTTTTTTAGGGCTTTTGCTTTTATGCTGCAACAGAGGCGTTCTCTTTAGTAACGTTTTTTTCAGAAGATGGTACAGTAGGTGATGTGTTGAATTTTCTTTTTTTTCTATTTCTTTGCCCTATCCACACTATTTCTTTAGCTAGCTCTTCTTTATCCGTGCAGTATTCTACTACTTGGACTTCAGAACTCTGGTTCGTTTCCATAACACTGGTTTCATGATTTCTCTGTTCCAAGACATTTCTCAATTCATCTCGAAGAGAATTAATTTGCTTTTGCATGTCCTCATCTAAGCGTTGCAGTCGGATATTTTCAGCTTTCTCGTCACTGTAGCGTTGATGCAACATATGGTCCGTGTACGTCTTCAGCTTGATACTTGGTGAGGAGCTATCATTCGTAATGATTACGAGAGTAGCTGCGCCTTAGCAAATAAAAATTATGATGAGTCGGATTTTGCACAATATCTGTAACTGGTTCATCGCGACGACTGTCCGTGTCTCGGCCGATGTGCGACGACACGCAGTATCAGCACTTTATGCACACTGTACAAGATACAACTGTTCTCAGCGAGAACTGAACGATCAATGTGAATTCTATTCAATAAAATATTACTATAACAAGAGAAATAGAACTTAAAAATAAAAAGTAGATGAAGAAATTTGGAAGAGATAAATTTGCATAGCCAAATAAACTTGTACCTAATTATTATTTAGAATCATGTATTATGGTGGAATGTTAAAAGTAAAAGTGGATCTAAATATGACTTTGATGCACTCGTTTTAGGTGAACTTACATCTTCCCGTTCTGGCATTGAGACCGCGTCCGCGAACGCATCGTCTGAGCTTCCGCTCGTGCCAGTTGCTCCATCTCCATAATTTTCTCTTCGCTTTCTGGAACTAAATGGTGCGTTTGGCTTAATATTTTTGTTTGTGACTTAGGATGTATGCAAGAGATACGACTTACGTGTATAGGCTGCCTACCTTTCCAAGCATATACAGAACTGTGCGAAGTAGTATGCGGGGCGGTGCGCCGTGGGTGCGCGCGGCACAGAGTCACCGCGTCGGCGCTCGCCACCCGCCGGAGCAGCGACCTCTGGCACGCTGCGCGAAACGACCAGGGGTCGGACCCGCCACCCTGTGGAACACCATCACGCATTTATAGCTGATTGGGAAAATATTGCTAATTTAAGAATTATCGTGACATACATATGGGCTTAGAACAATAACGCATAGAAACCTAGCCCGCACACGCTAAGTGAGGCAAATTGATTCGCTCCCAAAGGGCCTACACGAGCGGGCGGGCCGTCAGTGTTCAAGGTCAACTTGCACCGCGAACAGCTCCAGAATTTTAGCTAAAAATGACGAAATGTGCGGTAAATGAGTGTAAAAATACAACAGACAAACATAAAATAGATACTAACATCACATTCCACAAGGAAGTAACGCGTTTCAACTTGTAGTTTTATATAAATATTCACTAAAACCTAAAATTAACCTACTACTAAAACTAGCCTACATGAATTTGATATTTGCTTCACTTGTGACAGTTCGTTTGATATGAAACTATCATTCTATGCGCTATAGTTCTAAGCATATGGGGTTATTTTTAAAATATGAACGACTATATTACTAACATTATAAACAACAACGTTTGTTACACAACTTTTTACAAAATATAATAAATATACCAAAAATAAACTTTTCAGTTACTGTTGTACTATCTGACACTTTGTAGATCTGTATTTTGCAGGCAAGTTCAAACATGCAAGCGTCCTCCAGGACGACTCCCAACCCCGTTCTGCAGAGTTATCCCCATTTGGAGAGATCTATTGAAATATATTTATTTTTGTGTGAAAGTAAAATCTGATGATTAAAAGTTATGGAACGAAAGTTGTTGTTTATGATGTTAGTTATATAGCTCTGCAAGCTTTTCAGTATTTTTAAAATAACCCTGTATAAATCAGATTGACATAAATGCGTATTTTACAATTTTTGGCAATTGGTTTGGTTTTGGATTTAAACCGTGTATTTTATCTAAACAGTTTCTCATCTTTACAGGTTCCACGATGATGGCTGACTGAGATGGTAAAGTCATCTACCAGTAATGTCTTATATTAATATAACTAATTATCGTTAAGTTGTAAATTATTTCCTATGTTGCTATGCCTTGCAGGGTTCATAAATAGTATATTATTGCAGAGGCCGGGAAGTAAGGGATTGCTGGACGAGTATGAGTTACAACACCGAGCTCCAGCGAGGGTATTAACACGAGTCAAGCAATTCCCGTTCCCGCCGAGGCTTATATAGTGATTTTCTCAAACAATGCTAGGAATTAATAAAATACTAAAGAGAAGAAAATGTATAATAAAAAAGTTAAAAAAAAATGATAATTAAAATGAAAAGTAATTATTGACATACTTTTCCACATAGTAGTCTGCTAAATTCTTAAGACGCTTATTGTGTATTCATAAATATTTATTTTAGTATCGTTCTTCTCACTAGAACTTATTTTCGGGACGAACATAGAAAAAGGCCAAAAAGACCGAAATAGTTATTTTTGATACAAGTGCGGAAAGTTAGTCATTATTCACGAGTCTCGAGGCATCTTGGCCCGAGCCAGAGGCGAGGGTCAAGACGCGAGACAAGTGAAAGTGACAAATCCGCACGTGTATCAAACGACGTTTTTTAATACATTTGCGAAAAAACTACATTGAAAGTAAAATAAAACAGTATTTAAAAAAAACTCATTTTCTGCTAGTAAATTAAAATAATGTAATACAACCACTGCAACCATTATTTAAAAGTCTATGGAAATATAGTTCTAACGTGCTGTTTTTGTTTATTTTCTGTAATATCGGTCTGTAACCACTTTTCTTATTATGAAGTCCTGGTACTTTTGTTTAAACTTCTTTAGGAACCCGTGCACGGTAGTGAGATACAATTTATCTGTAATACATAAAACAAATATATGCATAAAAATCTCGCCTATCACCCATTCAGGGGTAGGCAGAGACCTCCACTCGATACGTTCATTATATAGTATTTGTAAATAAATATAAGTTTTAATGACGAATGACTTACGTCACAAAGCACATAAATATTAAATAAATATACAACTTCTTTAGTTCTGTGCTTAAGATTTGAAACAACAGTAAATTAAAAAAAAACTGGAAATGTAAAAAGCACTAGTGCGAGAAATCCAACTTTCCACACGATTTGTAGTCCGAAAAATACCACGTTTTGAGCAACTGTATTAAAAAGAATAGTATAGCCATTGACTTACAATTATATGGACGTCGGGTCCGCGCTAAAGAGTGTCCGGACTTGTAAGGCGCTAAAATCGTATACAGAGCGCGACACTCCGCTTTAGTCTTCATTTGTTCTACTGACAGCGCGATACTGCGATGACATTACAATTTAAATTTCGAATAGGTTGACTTGGGACATTTTTTTCGTGGTATTTGTATTAGACCCGTCGTCCATTTATTTGTAAGTCAATGAGTATAGCATTTTATTTTATTTTACCGCCTTTTTTTTAATAGGCACTTTTAATTCTCGCAACTATGAACACTTGGCAGTTGGCTGTATGAGTATTTCTTTTGCCTGTTTACGTAGTTCATTATTAGTAGGTAGATTTAAAAGTTTAGAGAAGTGGACAGTAATGGTTTTCATACTTACTTTGCAGGCCTTGACCGGGAGGAAGTCGCATGGTCCATATATGAAAAATTTTCCGAGTTCGTTTTTTGAAAGTAATGCAAACATTTCCGAGCATATTTGAGAAAATATGTTTTCTATGCCTGCTTAATATAAGATCTGCATACGTTTGTTGAAAGACATAAAGACATAGTGAATTCATTAAGAACAAAGTCAGCTTACCCAAGACACATCCTGATCTGCCAGCATGTCCTTCCCCTGGTCGAGCGCCAGTCTCATCTCCGCTCGAGGACTGAGTCGTTCCTCCGGTGTCGGTGGTTTCTGTACCTCTCGCCGAGTGGTAGACTTGTCGTCTGCTGGTGTTGGCTCTGAAGCTAAGAAAGCCATGATAATTATTCATCCAGAGTTGACAGTTACTAAAACATGTCTAAGTCCAAGAAAAAGATCGAAAAGGTTTTCTGTTTGTCAATCAGAATGTTCGTTATCTGACAGTTGTGGAAGGCGACTTACAACGCCAGTAAAGCCATCAGTTATTCTCTGAAAATACTCGCCAGAAGCACAGAATACTTAATAATTACTGCGTAACAGATACATCACTCTCATAGAAAATCGAAAATACCTATAATAGTCTACTAAATCTGACTAATGAAATCAGGCACTCATTGAGAAGAAAAACAGAACTTATACACGCGTACAGAGAGGTGAAAACAACGTTGCCCGCCGTGTGCAGTCATGCGGAACCGATTGCTAGGGTTGTACAAGGATTGTAATGTGAATGAAAGACTTGTCTGAGCTCGCTTGCACTGTCGGTGATGCACTCAGCGGTAAGCACTTATCGCGTAACCTCGGGAGAGTGATGGAGCAGACGCAGAACGTCACATAATTATAAATTCTCCAATATAGATAGTTCTTAGGTTATCGCGAGCATTAAATATTGGAAATGTAACCATTTTTTCGGATCTAATTGTGTCAGCCGTGACCATGGAACCTGTGTCGTACCTAGTTCGAAGTATTCGGTAGCCTCAGTTTGGCGAAAACAGTGAAGGAATTTCCGAATTTCGATTCGAAGAAATTTTTCTTTGTGTTTGTTTGGTCTTTCTATCAATAATAATAACAAATTAGTGGAGCATTTACAGAAAAGTACTAAAGTACTAAAGACATCATGATATTCGAGATGTTTAGAGAGAGACTTAGATCCGAAAAAAATTCTTTTCCGATCACCTTATACATCACCATATACATTTTCCGGCACCGTCTATCACAGCGTTGGTTCTCGTGAATGGCATTCGAAAACTGCAGGCTTACCCGGAGAAAGTTGGTGCATAGGTGTAGGGTTGTGTATGGTGGTACGCTCGAGTGTGGAGGGCGTGCTGGCTGAGCTGGCTGAGTCCCGGCGAACGCCAACACCGGCACGCATTTCCGCAAACTCTCTTGAAACTGTTGGTAATAGCGAAACTATAGCTTACAATTGCAAGATTATATATTTAATAATTTACTATGACAGACAATACAACACGCATGATCATTCTTGCTGAGAGATGTCTATGTCTCTTGGTCACTGACGGCTCAGGATTGTTGTAAAGGTACAACAAGTATTACATTAGTGACTAATTACACACCATCACCAGCAAACTTCTTTATCTACCAGAGAAAGGCCTCCTATTACTGATTTTTATGTCTAGCCATTTAATTTCCTGTCTTCTGTTGTCTGTTTAGCAATTAATTTATTAGACTACCGTTTGAATCCATGAAAAGGTTTCCTGTTGCAATTCATTGTCCTGTTTCAATTTATGACGATCTCCGTCAGTCGGTCGGGTGGCTTGCACACCGGTTTTAATGATCTCGCCATCTCTGAGATCCTGGGTTCAGTCCCCGGACGGCTGAATGTGCAAACTAATTATTCTATATTGTCTCAGGTATGGGTGTTTGTGGTACCGTCGTTGTTTCCGATTTTCATAACACAAATGCTTTAGTTACTTACTTTGGGGTAAGAGCAACGTAGATAGATAGATTGATAAACACTTTATTGGTCATACACAAGAACAAGAATAGTACATAAACAACTTAAAACTAATGAGGGCAAAGGTGGTCTTATCGCTAAGAGCGATCTCTTCCAGACAACCTTTTAGTTAGAGGAAAGCTAATCGAAGCGGGAGACGTAGTGTGCCAATTTTACAAATAAAAACATAAAAATAAAAATTAATTGTATAAATTAAAAAAATACAAAATAAATAAATGAAATAAAAACACATAGTAATTTATCAAATATTTAATAAATAACGATATATTATACCTTCATAAATATATGTATATATAAATATACCTAAATAAACTTATACTTATTAATAAATATACACATGTTGCAGACTAGGACCGTGTTAGAAGATATTTACGCAATCCGATTTTAGAAGTGGGTAGCGAATTAGAATGTCGGATTTCAAACGGGGGATCGTTCCACAATTTTGCAGTCTTAATCGTAAAGGAATCTTTGTAATACTCAGAGCGAGTGAAAGGAGGCTTCAATAGGTTATCCATTTTAGAACTTAGTTCACGGTTGTGATCATCCCCGGGGAAGCGAAAACGATCCTTAAGGTATGGCAGAGTACGAAAGCTGAGAACGTGCTCCTCACGACGTAACTTAATAGAGAGCCACTGAAGCCTTCTCCTAAATTCGGACACGTGATCGAACTTGCGCAATCCGTATATGAATCTGATGCAAAGATTCTGTAGACGCTGGAGTTTGCTTAACAGATCCTCATTGAGGTCAATGAAACAGACATCAGCGTAATCAAGAATAGGTAAGAGCAACGATTGCGCAAGTTCAACCTTGGTCCACACAAAAAGCAGATTTTTCCAACGCCGCAATGAACCAGAGGCAGCAAACACCCTCCTACTCACCTCAGCGATATGTGGCGACCAAGACAGAATGGAGTCAAAAAGAACGCCAAGATTTTTAACAACATTACTGTAAGGCAGAAGGAAGGAGTTGAAGAGGAGCGGGGGAATAGTGGCATTGTTTAATTTGGCGATTTGCTGCGAGCCTCCAATGACGATGGCCTGCGACTTGTTAGGATTCACCGTAAGGCCATGGGTTCGACTCCGATCGTGTAAAATCGCGAGATCATTATTAAGTTCAGCGATTAAATTGGCCACGTCGTACACAGGAGACTGAGAATAAATCTGAAGGTCATCGGCATACAAGTGATGCTGACAAGAAAGTAAGGAAGTAAGGGAGTTTATAAAGATGGAAAAAAGAAGAGGAGAGAGAACCCCGCCCTGAGGCACACCTGCAGTAACGTCACAGAAGTTTGAATGCTTATTGTCGACACGAAAACATTGCCGACGCCCAACGAGATAGTGGCGAAATCACACCACTATCAAATTTGATACAAGGACAGATTTCAGCATTGCTAACAGGATATTAAAGTCAACAGTATTGACCGCGTTGCTGAAATTTAAGAGAACTAATACTGTCAGATGTTGATTCGATATACCCTCGCGAATGTCATCAGATACCTTGGTTAAAGCAGTAACAGTTCTATGTCCCGAGCGGAAGCCAGATTGGAAAGGACTAAGGATATTGTAGGAACATATGCGATGTTGTGTTAATATTTATTTATAATTAATTCAAATTCAATTCAAATCTTTGGAACCAAATGTGGAAGGATATTTACCATATTGTAAGTGCATCGAAGGTGCTTCGTTGGTGGGCGTCCGGTCTGGGCTCAGCTCGAATGCGGCACCACCACCGTGCCCCCCGCCCGCAGTTGTTGCGCCGCCCGCACCCCCGCCCCCTGCTTCTGCAATACCACCTCCTTCTTTACCATCATAGTCCAGCAAACCAGAAGCCAACATCTCATGGACAACATTTCATCCAGTCTTATCTTAAAGATGCTTCGACAAGGTGTTCACAGATATAAGTAAACTTTTTTGAACACGTTTTACAACCCGTGTGTTTAGAAATACCTAGGGTGGGCCCACACTGATATGTGGCACACTAGGTGCTCCTCACTCTCGTGTAAAAAAGTCTATAAAAGTTTGTGAGCTTCATTGTGGGAGTAGTTGAATAACATCGAGTAAGCATGAAAACTTCTCTATAATATTATAGAATCTTGTGCATAAATATTGTTAAATGACAAAGGAAGTAGAATATAAAATGTAGAGTTCGTACTTGTAGTAGAGCTTCATATTAAGGTTCTTTAAAAAGTGTAAATTAAATAGCTAAAACCAAATGGAGGTGCAAACTCTACAACATGCATAGTTCCAATAAGAAATTTAAGGATCGGGACAAACGATTAAACAACTACACATTATCTAGTATTGTCGTTCAATATGTTTAACATGCATGCATAGTGATTTACGTATTTTAAATATATAATTATTTATGTATTGTTGACTGCCTTCACCTCACCTCAGGATTTTAATAAAGTTGTCCATTTTTCTGTTAACATGGTCTTTGTTAGTATTTTATACACGTTTAATTCGTGCTCCGTATTATTGTGTATTTCAATATGTATTTCTTTGTGGTCATTAAAAATACCTAAGTATTTCACTCATCCTTTCATACACTGATATTACGTGGTGCATTAGGTATGAAGAAATTTATGTCTCTGATCCTAAGAAAATTTCCAACATTTCTAAACTACAGAAGACATATCTAGGAAGAAAAATATCACTCCTAAAGCTTCATCTTACATCGCAATTCAAGCTTCACTAAGGGTCCAAATCCACTTATCAGCACATCAGCATCGTATAAAAAAATCCAAGAAACCATTTTAAAAAGTCGTTTTGTTAAGTTTTCACTCTTTGATGATTAGAAAATATTAGTTAAAATCTTTACAAGTTTAGTTTAGGTTATAAAAACACCTTCAACAATTAGTTTCATGGATTCGTGCAGATAAGTAGACGACCCTTCCATACCACATCCACAACGAGACTATCAACAGTAAATTCGTCTTATATCTCACCTGGATCGGAAGCAGAGGGCGGCAGGTGCGGCGCGTCGCAATAGTCGTCAGCACCGAGGCCACGCCCGCTGCCCTGCGCCAAGCGCCGCACCAGCGGACGAGTCACAATGTCAGATACAACCTAGCTACTTCTACGCGTCACAGGTGCTGATTACCAATAGGGGATATAGGTGGTTACCCTTATGATCAAATCAAGTTAACGTAATTTTTTTGGCGCTCTGTGATTGGTTATTTGTTTTAAGGTAACAGTAGCGCTTAGTTTTGCGTAATATCCCCTATTGACTTGCCAATATGACTATAGCCAATTCGCGATTCAAATCTTTCTATGATCTTGGATTTCGCGGTATTGAAAAATTTGTTGTTTCTAAAAGAATTGCTCACAACTGGCCACTAAAATAGCAGGTCCTCCTCTCTAGAGTGTATGGACCAGAGCAATTTTTCTTTTTTTTCTTTGGTGAACTTTGTTTCACCATATTTCTTTCGCTGTGACGCTTTCAAAACTATTTTAAAATGCTTTTTTATCTATTATACATTAAAACTGCGACGTAGGACCTATATAACTAAAAGTTTAATAATTTTTACATGTATATCACAAGGTTCATGCAACAAGCATGCTTTTTTAACATTCTTCTCATAATTATTTCATGCTATGGTAATATTGACACAAAACATTCAACAATAAATACAGGTAATAAGTACATGTTCAGCATTCGTATAAAATATTTCACGGAACCTTTCTTATCATCACCATTATTTACGGCGAACATGTTGCTTGACATGTTCGCCATTGAGTGGTGACCTTTATTTGAGTAAACAGGAACACTAACCTTGACGCCATCGTCAATGTAGTAAACTCTAATATTGTCTATAGTTAATGTTTTACCTAGTGTGGTTCTAGTGCCACTGTACATCGTCACATTTGAAACCTCGTAACCCTAAACGAAATCCCTTTTTTACTCTTCAAGCGCAATATCGGGCAACTAAAGCTTAAAATATAATTTGCAGGCCCTGTTTTAGGTAAAAAGTAAAGATATAATTCTAATTATATCTTTACTTTTTTCTTTTGTCTTAAAATTATTTGTAGTAATTCTGTTTCTTGTGCCTTTTCAAAAATTCACATTAGTGGAGGTTACGAAGTTTACGAATTTAGCCAACTGTGGCAGGGTTGCCAAACATTAGGGAATTCTCGTAAATGTCGGTGGAATATTACGAAATTTTTGAATGAAAACAATTTCTGAGTAAAAAAATAACTCATTCATGTCGATGGTTTTTCTGAATTATTGGAATCGGTTTCAATGTTACGCAGCAGTTAAATTAACCGGGACTAAAATAAAATTAAAATGTTATTTTTTAGCGTAAATTAAAATATTTGTTTTATATTAACTTAAAGAACCGTCAGGCTTTATTTACAGTGCTGCGGAATGGACTGGAAGCGAAATTTTTAACGAAATTGTACACAGCGTAATAAACTTTATGTCAATTGTGTAACGTACAAACTAGATATAATACTTCATTATTGTGCGGTGCGGTAATTCTTGAGACTCCACGTGAATTCTCCGGAACACGCGCGTGCTGCTTTTTGGCTCCTATCTAGTTTGTAATTTACACAATAGAGATAAAGTTCATTTTGCTATGGTAACAAAAATTCGCTTCTATTTGGTTCCGCAGCAGTGTAAATTGTGCCTAAAAGGGTATTGTAGAGCCTTTTCAGTTTGTGGTCTCTGCCTAATTACCCTGGTAATTTAATAAGTACTCAAGTATAACGAGGTCTGTCCCAAACGTATCGGACCTTCGTCCGTTATTCCGCGCTGGGTCTATTACTCATAATCCGGTTCGTGGCATACTTCAAAGTAATCTCCATTTGACTGAACAATATGCTGTCACCGGTGCGTCCGCATCCCGAAGCAGTTATGGAAGTCAGTTTTCGGAATAGCCCTCAATGCACTCGACGCACTTTTTCTCTCTGTCGTTTCTATCTTCAAACTAACGCCCTTCGAGTGAAATTTTCAATCTTAGGAACAGCCAAAAATCGGAAGGTGCTACGTCGGGACTGTACGGAGGTTGACGAAGTTCAATAATCTTGTGTTTGCCAAAAACTGTTCAGTCGAATGGAGTTACTTTCAAGAATATCATGAGCCGGATAATAATTAATAGAACAAGTGCGGAGTAGCACCGAGTTACACGACGCGAGAGTTTTCGTGCAGCCATAGTTACCACTCTTTCACGTACATTAATAGCGAATCTGAATTCTGTTTACTAGGCAACAATATTTCAATTCCTCGGAACAATACAACCGCGCGGCCGGGACTCTCATTTACGTTAAAACGTGAAAGCTAAAGGAATGACATGATAGTTTGTGAACGTTTCTGAACACGTGCACGTGGTCGCTGCGCGGCGGCCACGCGGCAGATGCGTGGCGTCGTGAGCGCGTTGAAATTCGTGTCGAATAAAAGCGCCTTAACGGGAGACTATCGCATGCTTTTGCGACAAACCTCGTTGTATCGTAAAATATTGAGTAATGTTTCACGTTAGGCAATAAACTCTGGTTCAACCTTCAGATCACAGTAATTTTTCTTTCTATTATTCTATTATTCTATCTTTGTTCAATCTTTGTATAAATAATAATAACTCCTAATAAGTTCTTAATTTTTTAAATGTGGTTGAAATTTTAATACGAATTGTTCTACAATTTTGCCCCACGGTATTGCTTTACTTACAGGGTCCAGCATAAAGTTGTAAAGTAATTTAGAAATATGAGAGTATTCTTGAAAGTGAACACTTAAAACAATCTTTCCAAAAATATTAAACAAAAAATTCTGACAATCCATGGACAATCAAGTCCCAAAAACTGATATCACCTTTTTGCTACAATTTGTGTAAACCAATCTAGAAAATAGTCGTCTTAGATATTCACCTGGTCTTCAGAGTTGGTAGGGGTTGGCTTGTTATCTTCGCTTCCACTGTCGGAGCAGTCCTCTTCGAGGAGGGGTTCCAGTCTTCTCCTGAAAACATCCCTACGTTACCATTTTAACGTTAGTTCGTGGTTTTTAAAATTTTGTTTTTGTTCTACAGGTGGTTTCGTTAGATCTCGTATTCTTTATGTAAGAACTTGTTTTGGAGAATTGTACTTCTCAGTAGAAATGTATCTGCAACTTACAAGATATTTGCAAGTTTCATTGGAACAGTATCCTCAACCTGCAAGATTATTGCAAGTTTCAGTGAAACTGTATTTTAAACTTGCAAGGTTGTTGCATGCTTCAGTGAAACTATACTCCAGACTTGCATGGTCGTTGTAAGTGTCAGTGAAACTGTATTCCGAACTTGAAAGATTGTTGCAAGTTTCAGTGAAGCTGCATTCTGAACTTGCAATGTTTTTGCAAGATTGAGTGATTGTATATTCTAACCTTGCAATGTGGTTTATAGTAAATCGAGTAGTATATTAAAATACTGACCATTTTTGGTGTGATTCTACCAATAACTGGAACTAGTTTCACTATGAGAACTTATTTGAAATCGCAGAAATAACTTAGCTTTTTCCATACATTAACAAATCGTCGCCTTACTTCCTCAAACTCGTATCTTAAAGCACAAGTTACTGAAATGCAAAAAATGGATTCTATATACAAATTTTGCAGGCTGATTTCACATCACATGTCCTCCATATTTACACACTGGTTTTTACCTATTCTTTAAGTAATGCATCCAAATTAAAACCTTAGATAAGAAATTTAAAATAAATAGAAAGTTTTGCCATCTCCTCAGTAATCACTCTTCACAAGATACGACTTTGAGAAAGTAAGGAATCGAAATGTTATATATACTTTAGTTAATTTAGTGCTCGTTAATAAATAATACGCCTTCAACGCGTAATACTTGGCCAGGAATTGTGAAACTATACTCCGCACCGTTGGTGGAAGAAGATCACATTTGCAAAATGACAATTTCTCAGAAGAGACGTTTAATGATTCAACGAACCATCTTAATCGATAACTTTTTGTGTGTGGTGTAGTGGCTTAGTGATGTAGTATGGTAGTGGGCTATAGCTAATATTGCTTTGTTCATACTGAAAGGTATAATCACTTCCTTAAAATCACCCTGTACGTGGACTTCATATTACATTCAACAGGTTCTTGCATAAAGAAATCGAGCCTTGGCAATAGAGATTTAAAGTGCGTTCTCGGAGGCACAACGGCATTAAAGTGTAAGTCACTTTTAAGTTTTACTTTGTAGGTACTTGAATTAGTTCAAAGTACTTTTAATAATCGTCAACATTTGTACATTCTCGACTGCATCAGTCGCGTGTTTTTAAGGTTTACGAACGCACTGTTGAATTAAAAATAACCATTGATAGAAAGTCAAGGAACAAATAACAAATATGTCGCATTATCAATAATGAAATAACGTAATTCAAAAAAGTAATTTCTGGGAAACAAACGAAAAGAAAGCGTACGTGGCACCAGTCATAGGTCGCGCCCTTGATTTTTTTTTATACAAAATATAAGTGCGCATTTGACCTCCGTCTCACCTGATGGAAAGTGACGATGAGGTCGACAATGGAGTATGCATATTATTCAAGTAATAATACCTATTCACTCTCGCCTTGAAAAGGCTCAAGTTATAACAATCAGGGACCAAGCCTGTTCGTCATATACGAGTAAATGTGGAAAGCGTAACGCTTCGTGCGAATCTTTGGAATATCCACAACATAGGGGTGGAACCCAAGCCTACCCCTAGTCCCCCGGTGATGAAAAGGGGAAGGCGGAATTAAATCGTGTAATTCATCGCACTTTCTCCATGATATATCCTGTAAAATACCGATAAGCAGGCGGTGTTCAAGGCTTTGCAGCGTCGCCTCCGTAATTCCGAGCCGGAATAAAGCAACGTCTGCAAAATAACTTTTTATATCAATAGCATACACAGATATGTATCTTGCCAAGCCAAGAACCGCGATAATCAGGACACGAAAGAAACACGTACGTAGTCAAGAACCGCTGTATTCGAAGAGAGACAACGTTTTTTCTCTAACCGTCTCATAGGACAATCTTAGGAGTCTATATAACCTCAGATGCTTTGGTTGATTCCGCACATCGAGTATATAACCAGAAATAGAGACGAAATGTCATTTAATTTGTTTGAAAACTATTCTGCCATATCATTACTGTGACAACTGCGCTCTGATTGGCCAACCCGAATTCGAAACAATTGACGGGTGTCGTCAATTGTTTCACTTTAAATCGACCAGTTAACTTGAGCTTTGCTATAATGGACGAAAATTGCAAAATTACATGTTTAATTACCGATGAAATTTGATTCCGTTTGTCTTGTAATTAGATGTTTTGCAGTTATCCCCCATACAACCAAATGGAATAGCACACCATTGTTAAGAGATATTTTCTGTATTACAATAAATACAGAATATTTTTGGAATATACGGAGACGTACACATAGGCCAGTTGTTGGCGCTGTCTGTATTTCAGTGCAAACGAGAGTTGATGTTTATAAGTGATGTATCTGATGGGTTACCAGGAATATATGGCCCTTATTTTGTCACTATATCTGCTTATTTTTCCGATGATTTCCGATGAATCACTTTGGAAAAAATATATAGTAAAATTAAGGATATACACTGTTTACTATATGGTATGAAAACACGAATGTTAAAAATTTTCACGATAAAAAAAAAACATAAATTTACCTCGAATTTTTACAAGAAAATCGCTGTATTCAATATGGTACTTTACATATACCAATGATTTTTTAATATCATCTGAACTAAATAGAACACGTATAGTACGATATACATTTTTCGAATGACTATTGTTTCTATGAAAAAAAAAAATCTGAAATAAAGCCAGTGTCTCAGTGCTCGACCCAAGCAGAATGCACCGTGTTAGTACGGGAAAAATTTGAATTCTAGCTGAGGTATTTTTAAACATTAAAATAAATGAAAAATATAAATAAATGACTGAAAAACATAAATGAAGGACTTTTATCTAATAAAACTACTTCTTAAGCATGATCACATGTAGCTTTATTATATTTATTATATTAGTGACATTGGGTCACGGAATCGCTTAAGGATGATTTGGACATGGAACGTGAGCGCAGGGCCCTTTGCATTCGAGCTAATTTGCTTTCTCGGAGGTTTGCGCGTTGTACAAATGAAGTTAAAGTCACACTGTTTAGAGCTTATTGTAATTCTCTGTACACGTGCAGCCTGTGGTTGAATTATACTCAGGGTGCATACAGGGCTCTGCGTACGCAATATAACAATGCTTTCAGGGCGCTGATGGGGCTTCCACGTTACTGTAGTGCTTCAGGGATGCTAGCCACGTCTGAGATTGATAGCTTTTCTGCCATCATCAGAAAACGTATCACATCCCTGTTACAGAGGGTGCGGGGAAGCTCCAACGGTCTCCTGCGGACAGTAGCAGATAGACTGCACGTGGACAGTGCTGTAATGCAGCACTGGACGCGTGTTCACATAACTAAGGACACCGCTGTCACGTACAATCATTATGTGCCGTAGTGGTGCCTTGTTTCCTTTTGTTTATTATAGATAATTCTGTCATAAATATGCTGTTACTAACATAGTATATAAGGTTACTTGTTACTAATACTATGGACTACGGTTCGAAATAAATGATTTTTATTTATTTATTTATTTATTTATTACACCATTTTGGTGAAATTACAGACACATGGGACTTGTGAACTTATATCTCAGGGTGATGGGCGCAGTGGTATTGCCCTCAGATCTTTGCGATTTAAAGCTCTGAGTGGCACTGCAGCTATGGACAGGCGTGTAGCTTACAATCAGGCGCACGACTTGTTCGTCCCGTCACAAAAAGAAAACCATGAGTACCATATGCTGTCTGGCTAGTGCCAAATATGTTATAATTGTATTTGATTTGAAAAGTGACATGTTTCATTTCGTAGGTTATTTTTAAAATTTATTTTGTTGCTTCCCAAAAATTCCACTTTTCGGAGTAAGTTACTTTCTTATTGACGTGCGACATTATTATTTGTTGGGTCCTAATTTTGCCAATTATGCAAAAAGTCAATGCCAGATTCTACCGAAATGTGAAAATTAATATACAAAGATGACTCAAATTTTCTGTAATTTTTTATTATAATTAATAATAATACTAAGGTAATTAATTATATCAACGATGCAAAGACGAAACGTCTAACGTGCATTTGGAAAATATTATTTCGTAATTTGCATGCAATTATGATGTTATAAAGAACCTAGTACAGACTCCAGCTGTCACTAAGAGACTTATTTTACATGAAATGTAACTTCTTATAGAACTTTTTGAGAGAAATAACGCATTTTGTATTGTATTGTATTATATCCTCATTTTGTTTAAAAAGTAAGATAAAATAAAATAGAATTCCAAATTAAGGCACAAACAATGTCATTATTTATTTAGATATTAGGATCTTCTAGAAGCTCTGTTTTGCAACTACAGTCGTGTAGTCCCTTATTATATTATATTATATTGTATCCCAATTGAACTAACTTTTCTTCATTAAAATTTTACTATAAATAGAAGGTTCTATTGAAAAGTTCAAAGTTAATACAGAGTTTAAAACTTCTTTGTTTTTTTTTGTCCAGGGCCGTCTATCCTGGCATTGTCAATTAAAACAAGTATTAACACAACGGTATGTAATTTTAAAATCACAATATCAAATGAATACTTTACCTGGGCAGAAGTGGTCGCAGTGTTGTGGGTCCGGTGATCGTTGGAGCCATAAGCAGCTCGTCCATCATAAGCTCTGTGTCATCATCACCGGCGTACGACGATGATGACTTTGTTGGTGACTGTAATTATATATAATCTGTAGTAGCAGTAGAGCTCCTTGTGCAAGAGTTCATCCAGCGAAGTACTGCCACCTTACTTGTTTTTGCCTCTAAGCAATAATGTAAGCATGCATTTCAGTTTTGAAGGGTTAGGCTGCTGGTGAAATTACAGGCACATGAGACTTTCAACTTATGTCTCAGGGTGACAGGCGCAGTAGCAGTAGCTCTGAGTGGCACTGCGACTGTTATTGACCGGTGTGTCGCTTAGCCAATCAGGTGCATGATTTGTTCGTTCCGTCATTTAGTATCTCAAAAAATCATTGGCTTACAATTATATGGACGTCGGGTCCGCGCTAAAAAGTGTCCGCACTTGTAAGGCGCTAAAATCGTATACAGAGCGCGACACTCCGCTTTAGTCTTCATTTGTTCTACTGACAGCGCGATACTGCGATGACATTACAATTTAAATTTCGAATAGGTTGACTTGGGACATTTTTTCGTGGTTTTTGTATTAGATCCGTCGTCCATTTATTTGTAAGTCAATGCAAAAAATGCATGCTTTTAAAAATTAATAATGAATACCAAAAATACCCGTAATAGCATTTCTAAATATTAAAATATCATTTGGTTCGTTCATATGTTGAAATATAACGGCACCCCTATTTATTTATATTAAGACCTCTGTCGATTTCTCATTTCATTAGTGATACGAAATTAAACAGTAATGAGTTCGACCTTATTGATCTGAATTATAGTAATAAGGTAAGGTCAAAATAACTAACTAACTAAAAAAGTCTTTTTACGTATGTAGTTCGTACAGGTTCCCCCTTCATTATCATTGTCATCATTATATATTCTACCAATCGTACATCATAAAACTAGAGTTACATTGACCCTTTTGGGGTTCACATACTCAACTTTGGGAAACATCGCTTGATTATAGGAAACGAAACTATATTTTCTGATCGAAATCGCTTATATTTGTTTCTTCAAACAAACCAACATTCAGGTCACATGGTCACGGCGGACAGTCACATGACACGGTTGTAAAAATTAAAACGTAAGAACAGAAGACTGTTTTTTTTCGGTTCAATATTGGTTTGCACTGTGATCTAGTTCGATTATGCTCAAAGTTGTTTCATTAGAGATTCACTCTAACCTACAAAGGGACTATGTTAGTGAAAAAAATTGGGAGTGTATGAGAGTAGAACCCATTTAGGCAGATCGTGATTACAATGTTGGCTTTTCATGAACGGAATAATCCATATTACATAGAGAGTGCGTACAAAGTATAAGTATAATAGATTGTATTACATAGGTACGTACAATAATGCTTTCAAATAAATTAGTTATGAAGAAAACATTTGATAACAAACAAGATGTGGAGGTATATTCGGTTCGACGAATTGTATAAAACTGAATATGCGTTTTTTTCGTACCAGCTATCAAAAATACTATTTAAGTTGACGAATTAGTGAAAAATCCATGTTATAAAAGCAGGGGGTCTACGTAAAACAGAGAAAATTGGTGTGGTCTGTGAGACACAAAAGTTTAAGAACCTCTGGTTTTGTCCTTTCAATCCAATGAACTCAATAATAATAAGAACACTTACGGACAGTGTACCATGTTCAGAATCGGGTAGATTATCTGACAGGTCTCCTGATGAAGGTGTCCCCCACGCTTCTTCTCCGCTCGCCCCACTGCCTTCTCCGGTTTCCCCAGTACCTTCTTCAGTTCCTAGAGATGACTTCCACTCACTCACTCCGAGACACCTAAATACATTCGGTGGTTTTTTAAATGGAAACAAATTTAGGTAATAGCGGCGAAGAGTAAATATTCTCGGAAAAGAAGTACCTCGAAGCCGTTTTTATGAGTTGACGCCATAATATTGACTTAAACACAATTATTAAAGCACCGAAAATCACACGCATGAACAACTCGTCCGCCATTATAATTTTCAGCATAAACAAATAGTTGTAATACTTCTAATTAAAGCAAGTCACACATAATTAATTACTTTGTCATTATGTTTTCTTTTATAATAAAGCAAGTGCGCATTCGACCTCTATCTCACCTGATGGAAAGTGACGATGAGGTCGACGGTGGAGCAGGCTAAATAATGCCTACTCAATCTCGCCTTGAAAAGGCCAAAGTTATACCGTTCAGGGAACAAGTCTGCAGGCAGGGAATTCCATTCCATAGCCGTTCTCCTTGGAATATCCACAAGATAATGCAACTAACATTTTGTAATCCAATGAGATGAGACAATTTAACTTTCTCGCTTGCAAGTATGCATTACTTATTGTTCTAAGTCTATTTAAGTCGCGTTCAGTTGTTTTTTTTTATTAAAGTGAAAGCGCCTTACTTATTGTGCAATATTTTGCTATGGCATGGGAATTAAAAGAACTTGCTTCAAGGAGACTGTCAGATTTTTCGTGTGGTTACATAGTCGGATAAAAATGTCAGGCGTTTCATTTGTTCAGTTGAAATTTTGTTGAAACAGATCTATATGACTTAAGCGTGAAACACACAGAGAACGGTTGCGGGTCGGGTGCACGGCGGGTGTAATTCCGTATATTTATATGAACAACAATACACCACGGGTTTGGAACCCGAAACGGCTCGTCCCGTACCTGCGCGTGATTTGTTATCGTCCATATAAATGTATGGAATTACACCCGCCGTGCACCCGACCCGACACGCGTCCGACCCGCACCCGCTGTTAGCGTGTTTCACGCATAAATATCGTAAAACAATCCGATGGGAAATGTATTATAGGGACTCTTTGCCACTTGTAGGTAAATAGGACTACAAATATATGCTACAAACTCTACAAGTTCTATTTTGTATTACTATTTAATTGATATGTACTTGAAAATGTGTGTATAAATATTAAAGTTTTTAATATTTGTATAAAAAATTTCATCTACGTTATACATTTTTAGATTCGTGGTATCGAGTACACGAGTTCACTGAAATATTGGGAAAATAACAAAAATAATTTATAGATTAAGGCGTTACTTCGCAGGAATCCATGTTAATAAAAATGGAAATAAATTTCTTTGCTTCTTTGCGAACCCAGTGAAGGTTAAATAGTGCAAAGTAGCTATGCGTAGCGTATGTGTCGAATATTTTTTTCATGCAGTTAATATTCCCATTCTCCCTACGGTCATATTTATAAACCAGTACCCCCAGTATCACTATTGTTATAATTTTGAGCATAATGAGGTGGTGACGCTATATCTATATGAAAAAAAAATATCTTTGGTTTCGATAGGTCGTGGAGAGCTGCGTGATAGATTAGCCCACAAGTAAATAGGAAAGAGAGACCGTGCTAACACCAATTTTCAGATCCGATGTCCAAAAGCTCGACGTTCCCACTGCTGCACAATTAATTGCGGGCTGCTACAAATAACGTCACCACGAATTGCGGATCACGGCTCAATGCCAATAAATAATAATAAAAATTGCGGAGGAATATTGTTATTTTCGTTATGGCGGCCACTAGGCTTGTGCCAGTGTCAGTTTTATAAGAATAATATAAAAATTATGGCGCTCATCGCCAATATCAGTAGCAATGGCGTGCACAAGGTTTTTAGTTGGGATAGGCACAAAAAAACTATTAATCAAGCAAAAAAACTTAAGCACTTACCAAAATCAAATCAAGTGTGTTACTGCTTGCATTAATTACACTGTTATTGTGCTGTGTTTTTTAGCTGAAGTATGAAAGTTTTATTAGATTTACATCCATCCAAACATTTGGAGAGTTTACGAATAAAATACAAGAAAAACAAAACAGTTCAACAGTTCTGTCAGTATTATAATCGGAGAATATTAGAGCATCATTCAGTATTATGAGTGGTACTTTTTGCTGGGTTAGGCAGAGCCTATTTGCCTATGTGTGGTGCACGCCACTGGTATGTAGTTATTTATGCGGACAGAGATTTTTCTGTTCGAACGTAACGTCACACATTTTTTTTCATACGTCACTGCGGTTGATGTTCCTTTATTTCTTTCCATCCTCTAAGAGTTGATGCGGCTTTGGCGTAACACGGGATTTTGGGAAGGTAAGGAAAGGAGATGAGAGCTCAAACATAAACTGTAGCCTGGTGAAGTCAAGATAAATATATGGCGTTACCATGAGGTATAGATACGTTCTGAGCTCACAATAGCCCGATTCAAGTAACAGACATCGAAAACATACTTTGACTTTGCTCGTCGCCACCCCAATACCCTCGTCGTGACTGCTGCCTATTACGTCCCTATTAGGGAACACCCACTCTGCTCTCGTAAGATACAGGGAAGCCTTCAACGATTCTGACCACCCTATTACTCTCGCCACGTTACAGTCCAACCAGATTATCTTCTTCTTTTTCAACCACCCACTTCTACTTTTTCGTTGCACTCGTGACAGAGCGTCTCGTGGTCATCACGGAATATGTTTGTTAGGGGCTGATGTGGCTCGGCTCACGAAACCTCGCCATCTCTCTCTGGACTCCTTCTTGCACTCATGCAAAGGACTGTAGACTTTATTTGGTCGCTCCAAAAATGCCCTTGCACGCAGTCTAGTGCCCTCTACTCTGCACGTCAAAGTTCCGTTGTGAGACAGGCCCGCTCAACACACTCACAATCTACACGAAATTACCATCCCGGCCTGCGAGAGTCCCCTAGTTCAGCGTGTTCTGGCGGAAGTGGCCATTAGTGTCATGGGCCAAGGTCCCCACCCCTCAGGTTCACCCTCTCAGGTGCACCCTCGGTCCGCTACTTTAATTTTTAAATGTGTTTTCTGCTCACCCAACCCAGCCAGCTGAAAAACACCGGAGTGCCGAAACTGTTAAGTGGCCATGCATGACAAAACGGAACATAATGCGTTCGATAATGAGTGTCCAATCCGTAAAAAGTTGAACACGATAGCTAGACCTAGTGTAGCGTATAGCTAGATCTAGTGTACCGTATAGCTATAGATGGCCATAGAGTGCAAACGTTGACAATAACTGTACTTCGTAATTAAAACAAAAAGAGCGAGCTCATTCTTCGGCTGAGCATCAAACAATCAACACGTCTTGAAGATGTCACACACGTCGATGTATTCTTTGTGGAGGGCAGCTAGGAAAATAAACTGGATAAAAAAAATTTAACACAAGCTTGCTGTTTCGCACAATTTGACCTTCACTGGGTGAGCGGAGTAACAAAGTAATTTATTTCCACTCTTACATAGGGCGCACTATAAGTTTCCGGAACTGGCCACTTACGTAAACAAAATTTAAAAAATAGTTACAACATTTGAAAATTGGAACTCTTTGGCTGTAGAATACAGTTTGTTTCATCGGACTATCACTTGTTTTTACATTGTGGCGTCATTTCAGAAATTGGTTGTCCACATCACCATGGATTTAACTCGTGAAAATTTTCGTAATATGATTTTCTACGGCTTTAAGTGTAATGTAACAGCTCAGCGGAGCTTCACTCGGCTTCAAACTGCTTTTGACGACGAAGCACCCTGCAAGACGACTATTTATAGCTGTATAGGTTTTAAGACTTTCGTGGTTATTCACTAAATGATTATCACTAGTAACAGGTTTCTTACCACGGTATAACTTCTTTTTATTTTCCCGATATTTATAAAAAGAAGTTATACCGTGGTAAGAAACCTGTTACTAGTGATAATCATTTATTTATAGCTGGATTGCAGAATTCAAACATCGATTCTGTGCGCCGTATGATCAAAACAGACAGGCATGTGACATACCACGAGATTCAGGCATCTTTAGGCATAGGTATGAGTGAAATACAATCAATACTACATAAACATTTGGGTGTGAAAAAGCTGTGCTCTCGGTGGATCCCACACGATTTGACTGAGGCTTCATTTGGTGCAATGCCATGCTTACCAGATTCAACGAAGGGGCGTCAAATTTGGTGTGGGACATAGTAACAGGTGACGAAACATGGATTTATAGTTACGATCCCAAAACCAAGCAACAATCGAGCGTCTTTCGGCAGGGTATTTCGAGATGAGCCGAAACCAGCCATAGTAGCGCGCGTGCAAAGTGCCTCTAAGCGGATAATTGCTTCTTTTTAATGAAACTGGACACGTGGCTGCTGTTGCTTTGGAGAATAATTGTCCCGTAAATAGTGATTGGTACACGACCATTTGTTTGCCGGAAGAAACCGTAAACGTCGTATCATCTTGCACCACGATATTGCCAGTTCTCACACGGCCAGACAGAAAAATGAATTTTTGAAGGTGAACAACGTTGACCGTTGTACGCGGGATGGCTTATGAGCCATCATGAGCGTACAGCCCCGACCTGGCACCTTGTGACTTTTACATATTTCCAATAATTATGAACCAGATACGCGGTCAATGATTTTCATCACCTGAAGAGGCTGTCTAAGAGCATGAAAAATATGTTTGGGAGATTCACGAAGGAGTGGCATAAATGTTTTCAAAATTAGTTCATTCGTATGAAAAAGTACATTAACGCTAACGAAGAATATTTTGAGAAACAATAATTCATTTCTG